GCACACTGCTGGCGTACATTTAAGCAAGGGTATACTAGGACTACTAAAATCTTTCTAACAATTACAATTGTGGTGATCTGGGAAGGAGATTAAGGAGGACACATCAGAGCACTGCTCAAGGAAGATGAGGCAATAAATGGAGAAATGACTTGGAAAGGCAGCCACTGCATGCTAATGTAGAAAGATTGCATCCACCCCTCTTAGAAGAATGAAATATTTTAGGAAATATTTAAAAGGAAGAATATTATATTTTCCTTAAAGGAGAAACATATTTCTAAAGACAGAAAATCAGAGCTTCAGCCCCCTGCCCCCAGCAGATATTTGGTGCCCATTGAGAAGGACTGGGCCAGCCTATCTACAAAGCAAAAGACCTTCAGCTCCAGGATGATGGGATTATCCTTCAGAGCAAAGCCATTCAGCCACAATAGAAACTGCACAACAAGCCCCTTCATTGCATCAGCCCAAGCTTCAACCAAGCTTGACTCAGATAAAACAATCTACAAAATCAGCTATGGCCCCTGCATAGCCCCATGGGAGTGTGACAGCAACCAATAGAATACATGTCCTTGCCAAAGGAACAGGAAGGTCAAGGGCAAGGCCAGAGAGGGTATAAATAATCCTCACTCACTGCTCCATGTGTTCAGCTGCACCAGGACCATGTGCTTGATGGTTCTACTCCATTAAACCATCTTTCCAATCAGCCTCCATGTTTCTGTCTTTCTCCCCACTTGGAACTGAACCAGATGGATATTTCTTCCAACAATTTTTTCCACACACTGCATCACTTTCTGGACCTGTCCTCCTTTTCCCATCCCCACCTTAGTCCACTTATGCACCCTGGATGCATAATTCAGCTAAAGTGATGGAGAGATGAAAGATGTCAATCTTCCAAAATGAAATTCAATTATAATGCATCTAATCTAGGAGACCAGCAAAAAAAGCTTTATAATAACTTTTGTAAATCATAGAAAGGTGGGAGGTGGAGTTGTAGCAAAGATCACTTTTAAATTTCTCTTGGATTTAGAGCACTCCTAGTAGTGGGAGCAGAGAACAAAATAAATACATTAACAAACAGACTCTGGGGGTTCAGACATTAGCAGAGTCTGGTCGATTGAAAGAAGTATATCCTAATTCTAAAATATTGACTTCTTGGGAAGTACAAATTGTCTTGATACAGATGGGACTTGTTGTGAGAAGTCCTATATTAGACTGTATAGTTGATTCTCTGGGGGAAAAAACATAATACAATGGCTTATTTTCTAAAGATGTGATGACAGTCAAGCAGTATTCGTAAAAGAAATCAAATTGATGAAGTTTATCCATGATTGTAAGGCCAGACTATATTCCTGAAAATAATTCTTAATTGTTCAGACAAATTCATTTTGCCCAAAGCAGATCAAGTGATGAATTGCTTGCCTGAAACAGGTATTGGTCAAACACCACTATAAACAAGTAGCCTTCTCTATTACTATCGTTTGATGCTGAAGGCAATCTATTTTAATGACCTTTTAGAAATTTTTAATTTCTTATTTGAAAAAAAAAACAGAGGTTGGATTAACTGGATATATTTTCAATGACTTCACCAGTGTTACATAGACAGTTAAGTACATTTTATGACTGAAAAGTCTGTTTTTCTCTCTGATATGATGCCCAGGTTAAGTTCATATCTATCTACATTACACTGCACACTAGACACTTACTAACATACATACTCTCTGTATAAATACTATTAGTGCTCTGTATCTTTTTAGAAGATATCACTCTTTTAGTGCTTGGAAAAACTGATAATCATAAAAAGTTCCAAATGTGTTGCTCTCTTGAACAAAAATATGTACAATTCAGATTTTGATAATTATATGCATCCTTGGCTTAATTAGGAGGAGTTGGCATCAAATGATGATTCCTGTCTGGGAAAACAGATTTTGCAATAAATTCTAAAGGGAGAGAGAAACAAATTTGATGGGATTTTATTCTCTGCATTTCAGCCCTTATTCACACCACACAGTAGAACTAACAGCTCTTAAATGACTGAAAGTTAAGCAGAACCGTTTTATTGCTATTCTAGAATATTCTCAAACTCTCTTCTAAATTGGTCTAAGTATCTTCTGGAAGGATGGTTAATAAATACAAGTAATTAATAAGTATATTTGACCATGCAGAAAACATTTGTCTTTCTAATATCTCCAAACTTATTTGAGATGGCATGTGTTCCAAATGAGAAAACACAGTTTTATAGCATGTCTTAGTTCAGACCAACTAATCATTTTCTAATTTGAATAAATAAATGACAAGAGTTTCATATAATCAGGGTAAAGAGTGAATTAGATGATGATTGCAGAAGTTTGCTGGATGGATAAAATTAGATGGAAGTATGAAAATGGAAGATCAGAGAGAAGATAAGAGATGGCTAGAGTTTGTGTCAGAAACAATCCATATTTTTGCAATTCTTTAAACTTTGCACAAGGAAAGTTACTATATTTACTGATTCACCACATGCACGGATAAGAGTAAGTTAACATAAAGCCAGGTAAACTGGACCTTATCAGTAAGCAATTTAAAGATTACAATAATTCTAACCCTATAGAAAAATTGGGTGTAAGAACATAAGCAAACTAAGTGAATTAATCTTTTCATAAATAGCAACTTTCACAACTTCCTCTTAATCATATTGCATTAATGGAATATATATGCAGGCATCAACTGTTTTGCTAGATAGCTACCCATAATTCAGTGTCTGGAGATTTCAGAATATGGGCCTTCTAAGATTGTGAGAAGATTGGAGGCTGAATGATACTATCAACTTTCCCTTTTTCTCGCTGCATGCTGTGTAAATGATTTTCCCTCCATTATATTTTCCCACTAAAGTTGATACAAATGAATTACTTCTTGACTAACTAATGAGTTGTATTCAGCATGAATATTGTTCCATCTTATTATTTCAAGTACTGAATCATGTACTGAGTCATATTCCAAGCAATTGCCCCATTATCTTTCTGAAACAGCAATTTTAATGTAATTTAGATATTCCTGTTTATGCCTTAAAAACAAACAACAATCATTGATACTGATCTCATATACATAAATATAATAGCCAAACTGTTTTAGTGAACAGGGACTAGGATTTTGATTACTTTTGATTACATATGTCATATATATGAAATGAAATCAAAATATTTCCCATTAATATTCATATCCCCCTTTCTCCTCTTTTTATTCTATTTAGCCAAGTTGGGGAAGAAAACCTGGCTAATGCCAGGTTGTTCTGTTGGAGATGCATTAAAACACATATTACCAACTTAGAGATAAACAGTTGGACTTTTTAATGTTTTCATGCATTCTATCAGTTTATCAGCGTTAACCTTAAGAAAAAGAACTAAGGTTAAAGAAATCCACTCTCTTAGATCCTTCTAAAGTGAAGTTGTCAAGCAGTTATTTTCTATTTTAATCTTGAGGTTCAGCAAACAGGATTAGGAACACAGTGCTAGAGGAATAGAGCCAATACAAATAGAAATCAACACTTGAGTTACCATAAATGAATCTCATATAGGATGATAAAACAGCAGAATTTACAAAGGGCCCAACCAAAGGTAATTTTAATACTAATATTGCATTAAGTAAAATCACTAGGCAAAAGGAGATGAAATATGACTAGATAAGCCATAGCAGAACATGCTATGCTCTGCCCCGGACCTACCTGGTATGTAATAGAGACCTCCTGGACTCATGACTCCTGCTGAAAGAGCAGGTGACAATAGTGGCCTTTGTTCAACTTTGTGTTGTGCAGCAGTTATGCCTCTACCTGAATTAGGAAGCCCTTATCTCAAATCACTCATGCCCTGGTCATTTCCCATACGGTCTACTGCAATGTCCTCTGCATGGGTCTACCCCTGAATTTTTGGAAGCTTCAGCTGGTGCCTGCGTAAATAATCTTCTGTGGGCGTGGCTTGGTGGGTGTGGCATGGCACGGTGTGATTTGGTGGGCGTGGCAGGGGAAGGATACTGTAAAATCCCCATTATCTCCCCACCCCACTAACCTGCTTTCCAGCTCCATTCTCCTGTGCAGGGCAACAAAAGAAGACCCAACCAATCAGCTGGGACTCGGGAGGCAGAGAATAGATGTGGGCAGGGCCAACCAGAGATGGTATTTGCCGGTTCTCTGAACTACTCAAAATTTCCACTACCGGTTCTCCAGAACTGGTCAGAACCTGCTGAATACCACCTCTGGTTAGCACCTTGAAGCCCCCCCTCCCATTTTTTAAACTTAGCTTATATTTGTTATTTATGACTCAGTTTTATTAATGCAGTGTAATTTTATATGGTTTTTATGCTTTAGTTGTACACTGTGAGATGGGTGCTATGTAAATGTGTAATGAATGAATGAATGAATGAATGAATGAAACATTATCTTGCCATTTTTGCTTACTTTGCTTCACTTTTTCCACAGGCTTTTAAAGACTCTGGCCAATGTAATACAAATGACTTATATATCTGATCAGACTGTGATCTATTTCTGCTTGTCGTGTTCTGTAATTATAAAATACGGCCTGAAGATCCACGATAAGAGATTTTTGGCAGGAGTGGAATTGTTTGTGCGCCTCTCTTGTGTGTGCCAAACCACCTTTAATACACTTTTTAATTTTTTTCCTTGGGTATTATTGCTCTCATTTGGATGTGCGCAATGATACTCAACTACAATAACGTGGCTTATTTAAGAAATCATGATTAATAAATCCATAGCTTAGTACAGTGTAATGTGCGATCTCAGTCTAAATAAAAACAGCGAGCTATATTTTTATTGTTTACAAACTAAACAGCTTAATGTCGTAACTGTAAAGACACAGAAATTTATCGTCATGTCCTGCGAGACTAGCCTCATCTAAAATCAGCAACCACGTTCACTGATTTTGACGCCTCGGCTGTAAAACTCAGCCTGAACTGAACAAGCAGAGAATACGCAACGTCACCCACTCAGGAAATCTATTGCGCATGCCGCCGGCCAGTAAGGCGGGACCAATGAGCGGGCCGGTCGTGCGCACGCCCATTGAATCCCCTCTCGCGCCTGTCAGTTTCGGTGAGTCGGAGAGTGTCCAATGGCGGGTGGGGAGGTCGGTGGTGGTGGTGGCGGCAGGCAAGGCGCGAGGCAAAGGCGGGAGTTATAATTTATAAGCGCTCCTGAGGGGAGTAGAGCACGCGCTCGATAGCTCGATGGGGCCTGGCGTTTCCTGTTAAGAGAAGCGCTTGTGTCCCTTCGGGGTGGGGGTGGGGGAAGTCAGGGACTGCATTTCCCCCCCTTGTGGGTGCTCAGCTTCCTGCCTTGCAGAACCGTTGATAAAAACTCCCAACAGCCTCGCCAACGGCCGGGATTTACATCAATGTGCTGATTTGGAGGGCGCCCTGTTGTGGAAGGCTGTGCTACAGGCACAGAGGCAAGGGCGACTTTGGATACGGAGCTGAATCTTCCATTGAGGATGGGAGGAGCTTTCGTGGACTATAGCAGGACAGAGATCGTGAACAGCTTCCTCTTCAAGAGCTTTTTTTTTTTTTTTTAACCTATAGGGATTGTGCTTCCCACCAACATCAGTGTGGGGTGTGACATAGGAAATCTTTCTGAATTAAAAGTAATTGCATGCGCAGGTTGCATGTGGTTAAATATTCACAGGAACCCTTATTTGGTTTCCTTTCATAAATACCAACGATCCTTCCTAAATAATTCTCCTGCAGTCTGGAATATTTCTACAGTCTTGTATAAACGCATATTCTTGAATAAACATACATCCCCATCACGCTAGTCCCTTTCTTGTATGTAATTTTTTGCCATCAGCAGGGAAATGGCAAACAATTTAAAATGTGAAATAGAAGGAAATAGTGTACAGTATAGTTGAAACTAGTTTGCATCAATGCTGCTCAAGATATTACCTATCTTTCTATCCATGTGAATCAAACTTGCTTCTACCATGTCTATGTATTGCCTTTCAGAAATTTCTCACATTTCCATTTTTGAGGATCCAGTCCCAACTTTCTCAGTCTTCCCTTTCCTCTCAGTCAACTCTTCAAATATCTTTGAAGTTCAATTTTTTACTTTCTTTCCTTTACGATCAAGTCACTTCAATATACTGCTTTCATGCAGGCAATTAATTACTTTATTTGACTCATGTTCATTTGGCACCTACTTTTTTCTAATTTTTATATCTTGTTTTAACACTCAGTTTCCACACATACTTCTTAAATACTACATATCCGCTGCCTGCATTTCTGCTGCCTTCATCTTTGTTTTTCCTGATATCAAATTTATACTGCCCAATAAGAGAGTACAAACATTGCTATTTTTTCTGCTTCTTTTGATAAATGTTTCTTCCTGAGAGAAACACGTATTGATGTATCACCTATTTTTATACCAATATTTCTCCAACCATTTCCACATGCTATCAAGTGTGCAATTTCATCTACTTGTTATAGTTTTTTACCATCTACAATTTGCAATCATTCACTCCACATTTCCTGCCAAACACAACAACTCTGATGTTTGATTCTTTAATTTTCAGAGCCATACTCCTTGTTATGTTGCACATTCTGCCTAACATTGTACTTATTAACTATTGCCTCACTGCAATATAATCAAACTCTTGGTGTCTTTCAAATAAGATAAAACTTATAAGATAAAACCACTAAAAGCAAGAAAAAGCCCCCTCCCATTAATAATTCCACAAGCATTTCTTATACATTTATATATAAATATATTTAACAATTCAGGACAATTACACATCCTTGTCTTATTCCTTCTTTAATGTCAAACCTTTTGCTAATAATTCTGTTTATTTTCATGCATTCTTCATTGCCGTATTCTGCATTTATACAAACTGAATCATAAAATAATTACATAGTTAAAAGTGATTGAGTACTTTGTGGTTCTTTGCATTGCATGAATTTAGTCATTGCTATGGCATGTGGGATTGATGGGACTTTCAATTTGCATGATTCCTGACTGGAGAAGGTTGCTTTAACAAGAATTAGAGACTGGATTCATGCAAGCTGCTATACCACAGTTTTCAGGTGACAATTATTGGGTTTAATATGGAATGATAAATGTAATATGATTTAGGTCTATAATATTTTGAGATAGATACTTTGGTTTAATTGTGTACCCATGGTATACTTGACATTGGTTTATTCAACCCAATTTTCTGGTTTCATATTATACACTGAATGACAAATTTTATATTGGCAATTTTTCTAAAATGCATTAAGTTTACTTTATTGTCATTGCACCTTGTACAACGAAATCAAACACCATCTTCAGTACGTATCATGACCATGAAAATAAACACAACCACATATCCTTCACTCTCCACACATTGAACCGAAAACCCCCATCACCTCACCAACACTGCACTATACATTAGAATTCAAAAGAGCTACTGCCCTGGGATAGAAGCTGTTTTTCAGCCTATTTGTGCTTGTTTTTATTATTCGGTACCGCCTGCCAGATGGTAATAGTTCAAAAAAAGAGTGCCCAGGATGAGATGGATCTTTGAGAATGTTTTGAACTTTCTTAAGGCAGCGGGAGCTATAAAGCTCTTCCAAAGAGGGGAGAGGGCAACCAGTGATCTTCTGGGCAATGATGTTAACCCTCTGGAGTGCTTTCCTATCTGCCACTGTGCAATTGGCAAACCATACAGAGGTGCAGTATGTTAAAATGCTCTCTATGGTGCAGCGGTAGAAGGTCACCAGCAGTTTCTCATTCAGTTGTTGTTTTCTGAGAAGCCTCAGTAGTATAATCTCTGCTGGGCCCTTTTGACCAGTCCTGCAATGTGAGCACCCCAGGTCAGGTGCTCTTTTATGGTAACACCCAGAAACTTAAAACTGGCCACTTGCTCCACTCAGTTTCCATGGATAACCAAGGGCTGGATGTCTGATCTGTTCCTTCTATAGTCCACTACCCATTACTTTGGGTAGTCTGTGTAATATGGCCCTTTCTCTATGACTCAGTTAAAATGATATTCATCCGCTTTTGAGCCAGCAGATAACTAAATTCAGCACAAAATTTGCTATCCCCACTGCCCATTTCAGTCTTACAGAAGCCAGTTATTCTGGACTATGGTAGCTCCCACATGCCATAGACTGGCTGTCAAGTGTCTTTGCAATTAAATCTGAGAAACCCAGTCGGCTGCCTGGTAAAGCAGAAATGGCTCTACTCTCTTACTAGGCAATTTTGCATCAGGAAAGAAAAGGATAGAGGAAAGAGAAAGGAAAGGAGCAGAGAAAGGAATAATCATCTAGTCTAAGTGCTATTGCTATGATTCAATAGCACTTCTGGCTTTTGCAGAATAGCCCTCTGATACTGTGCTGAATTCACTCTTTCCTTTCACTGATTTTATTTTCCCCATAATAATATTATAAAAAGCCCACATTGCCTTTTGGAACAGAGTTGTGCATATCATAGATAAATGGTATTATTATGGTAATAGACTAGGACTAAATTAATGTAAAACAGTGTGTAATATTATTGTTCTTATTTCGAGGTCTGGACCGAAGACCAGCTATGGAAAAATGGAGCTTAATCACAATTACTGTGTTACTTGGACTTATTGTTCGTTGGACTGTATCACTTGGTCCTTATTCAGGTAAGACACATTCAAAATTTGAGCTAGTGTATGGAGATAATTTTCTTTAAAAGTTCAGGTTGTGATAGTGGGAACTCTTAATATGGGATTGTTGTACAAAATGTATGAAATATGAACAGCTATTTTGTATTTTTATAGAACTGCAAATATCAACAAAATTATAGAAATAAAATATATATCTTATCTTTGCTCATTCTTCAATATTATTCAGTTATATCCTGAGCATTTCATGTTTAATATCTGTTTGATATAAACAAATGCTGTATTATTTGAGCATCTTATAAAACTTAGATCATTTTTAGTTGATCTAAAAATGATCTTCATATGAACAGACTAATATTTCATTATTGTGTTAATAGTTACATAGGGTTAAGTCCAGGAAGCACTTAGCTGAACTGTTTTATGTAAAAATACAACAATGAAATATTTAATGTAATTAAATTTAAATTAAAGCAGATTTACTATTGTGCTGGTCTTATCTCACCTACACTTTAAATTGTGTCTGGGAGGCATACAGTTGAGAGGTCAAGTACTGTATGGCCTTCTGCCTCTTCCCCCCCACCCCCCACTATTTTAATATATCTTTAATATGATTGAAATCATATTTCAATGATATTAATGTGAAGAAGAAAATAAGCTCATACTTGCTGACCTTGTCCCAAAAGAAGCTTCTTGGATGAGAAGTGAAACATCTTCAAAGAATAACCAGAAAGTGCAGTTGCCTCTTAAAAAAGCACCTTTGGGATAATCATGACCTGGATGACTGATAATCTCCGTAGACTTGCTGACCTTATTTATTCAATAAATCTATTTTTGCCATTGATTATATGCTAAAAGAAAAGATTGGAGGAAGGGCGGGGGGAGGGGGGAGAATTCATTTTAATATATTTAGCCTATTGGATCATAGTTTTAAATCTACCATTGGAATGCTATGCTTATAGGGTAGAATTTCCTGCTCACTTCTTCTAGTGGATATGAGCTTAGTAAAGGCAGCTCTTCTCTCATACGCCACTGATTCTAATCATATATTTTTAACACCTGAATATATTTCTGTTCTTCAGACACTATCCATTTTATGGTAATCATCTTTTAAACAGGAAATGTTATTATGAAGACTTGCAACAGTAGACATTTCTGGAATAAAAACTGAAAGTTGTGATATTAAAATACTTAAATAAAAATACACTGCTCAAAAAAATAAAGGGAACACTTAAACAACGCAATGTAACTCCAAGTCAATCACACTTCTGTGAAATCAAACTGTCCACCAAGGTAGCAACACTGATTGACAATCAATTTCACATGCTGTTGTGCAATTGGAATAGACAACAGGTGGAAAGCATAGGCAGTTAGCAAGACATCCCCAATAAAAGAGTGGTTCTGCAGGTGGTGACCACAGACCACTTCTCAGTTCCTATGCTTTCTGGCTGATGGTTTGGTCACTTTTGAATGCTGGCGGTGCATGAGACGGAGTCTACAACCCACACAAGTGGCTCAGGTAGTGCAGCTCATCCAGGATGGCACATCAATGTGAGCTGTGGCAAGAAGGTTTGCTGTGTCTGTCAGTGTAGTGTCCAGAGCATGGAGGCTCTACCAGGAGACAGACCAGTACATCAGGAGAGGTGAAGGAGGCCATAGGAGGGCAAAAACCCAGCATCAGGACCGCTACCTCCGCCTTTGTGCAAGGAGGGGCAGGAGGAGCACTGCCAGAGCCCTGCAAAATGACCTCCAGCGGGCCACAAATGTGCACGTGGCTGCTCAAACGGTCAGAAACAGACTCCATGAGGGTGGTATGAGGGCCCGATGTCCACAGGTGGGGGTTGCGCTTACAGCCCAACACCGTGCAGGACATTTGGCATTTGCCAGAGAACACCAAGATTGGCAAATTCACCACTGGCGCCCTGTGCTCTTCACAGATGAAAGCAGGTTCACACTGAGCACATGTGACAGACGTGACAGTTCTGGAGAAGCCATGGAGAATGTTCTGCTGCCTGCAACATCCTCCAGCATGACCGGTTTGGCAGTGGGTCAGTAATGGTGTGGGGTGGCATTTCTTTAGGGGGCCGCACAGCCCTCCATGTGCTCGCCAGAGGTAGCCTGACTGCCATTAGGTACCGAGATGAGATCCTCAGATCCCTTGTGAGATCATATGCTGGTGTGGTTGGCCCTGGGTTCCTCCTAATGCAAGACAATGCTAGACCTTGTGGCTGGAGTGTGTCAGCAGTTCCTGCAAGACGAAGGCATTGATGCTATGGACTGGCCCTCCCATTCCCCAGACCTGAATCCAATTGAGCACATCTGGGACATCATGTCTCGCTCCATCCACCAACGCCACATTGTACCACAGACTGTCCAGGAGTTGGGGGATGCTTTAGTCCAGGTGTGGGAGGAGATCCCTCAGGAGACCATCCGCCACCTCATCAGGAGCATGCCCAGGCATTGTAGGGAAGTCATACAGGCACGTGGAGGCCACACACACGACTGAGCCTCATTTTGACTTGTTTTAAGGACATTACATCAAAGTTGGATCAGTCTGTAGTGTTTTTTTCCACTTTAATTTTGAGTGTAACTCCAAATCCAGACCCCCATGGGTTGCTAAATTTGATTTCCATTGATAATTTTTGTGTGATTTTGTTGTCAGCGCATTCAACTATGTAATGAACAAAGTATTTAATAAGAATATTTCATTCAGATCTAGGATGTCTTATTTTTGTGTTCCCTTTATTTTTTTTTGAGCAGTGTATTTCTTATGCTCAGACTAGTAGTAAAATAAATAAAAAGACTTATTGAAGTTATCTCTTCCTTGTCCTTATTTAGTTACCACAATTGGAACTGGCTATTCGGTTGTTAGTGAAATAGTCACTAAATGATTATGCTTATGAACTTACTTCAGCTTGCCTTTGCTTTATAGAATTATGAGGACTGTGAGTATTGGTCACCTTTTTATCAAGATTGTAATGGTGAATAGTTGTTATATGAGGCAGATGTGAGGGTGTTCTAACTATGACATGTATTGATCACCAGGGTTGATTTTTCTGATCTAACTGGCTAGTCAGGTGCCTCTTTCCTCCCTCACCACTCCATGTACTTCTTCCTGAAAGCTGCACACTTGGTGGAAGAGGATGACCATCCCATAAAGAAAGAGTGTATCAATCTTCAATCAAGGGTATATAATAGCTGCATGAGACAGTCGCTAAATGAGAACTATCTGTAATAAAATAGATTAATCTATTATTCTTAAAGTAACTCACTAATAAAATCTAGCATGAACAAATGCATAGTACAAGTAATCTTCAACCTGCAACCATTCGTTCAGACACTTGGGTCTGCACAAGTTAATAGCACTGTTTATTGTGTCTGCACATTGTTTTTTTTTTAATGCAGCTGGCTAGAATATGCTGGTATTTAACTGATTTTGGCGGGGAGAGGTTTTATAATTTGTATTTTATACTTTGGGTTAGGGTTACTTATAATAAAGTAACAGTGGTATGCTATTTTGAAGATCTGCATCTGTTTAATAATAACTTTAACATGTTTTGATTGGCAGCTTTTTCTCCCAATCCCCACCCCAAAAGAGTTATATGTGCATATGTTTGTCTGCACTAAAAGCAATTCTTCACCAAAAAGCAAGGCAAGGCAATAATTGTCTGCCTATGCTCAGGCAATAATGATGTTTAGTTGCTCCAGAAGTTCATTTCTTGTGGAACTTGTCCCATGTTGCAAAGGGACAAATATTACCCTTCTCTTGAATGTATGAACTATTAAAAGATAAATTATATTAAAAAATGATAAAAGTCTTTCCTAGATTTAAAAGAAACTTTTCGATTTGTGTAAAGTTATAATTGTTAGCTGAAATATGTCGTTTCATTAATCAGTAGACAAGAAATGAATAATTGTATATATTAGATATTTATTTGGATGCTGCAACAATTATACTGTTTCATATATCTTATATCTTGTTTAAAAAGAAGCCTATTCAGTACTGGCTGGGAGAATAGCAAGTAGAATTGAGCAAAATGGAACCTAGTTTGTTACATACAAAACTGGTACAACTTCAAACTGAATTTGACTCAAGCATAAAATGTTACAATAGCAAAGAAAGCACTTTTTTGTATAAAGCTTAAAGAAAAAGAAAGAGACTTATCTCCTTCATTTACATTAGTAAATGAATGGAGGTATGCAGCAGGGACCATATTTTTGAGGAAACCAGATATTAGGTCCAAAAATTACAATTAGAGATTATAGGGCTGTCTTTTTGCGTTCCTGTAGCACCCCAATTTTTTTTCTTGGAGATCAGAAGATCAAGCTATATATTGCATGCTATTGGTCAGATAAGTCTTTGAAATGAGGAGACAGGGTGCTGCATTAAGAAACACCAAAGATGGATTTTGTATGTATACTATCACGTATGATTGTATGTTTCAGACAGCAGAATACCAATATTGTTTTCATTTTTGCATTTGAAAGGATTTGAAATATTTTCTCTTTAACAGGGACACACATTTAGAATAGAAAACATCATTTCTCAAGCATTTAATAAAAATACTAGTAGAATCATAACAATGGATAGCATGTAGTTTAACAAATAAGCACACAAACATATCTCTCATCTTTTCTTCCTTGTGTGTTTTAGGTGCAGGAAAACCACCTATGTATGGAGACTATGAAGCTCAAAGACACTGGCAAGAAATTACTTATAATCTGCCAGTCAAACACTGGTATGTCTTTATTTCAATTTATATAAGGAGCGCCCATAGGTTATGGGGGGAAAATCTTAGCTGGACCATATAGATTTGTACATAATTATATAGAAATAAGATAACTTTTGTTCAACACGATATCCCAAATAGTATTATAGGAATGTAATTATTTTTCAGATCCACTATACTGCATTATGTCTGTTCAGATTTATCTCAAAAGATGTCATTGTAATCATATCAAGTATCTATATCTATAATGGTTAGGCAGATTAATTAAACTATTAAATTGATTTGCAAGTATTATAGAAACATAGTTTAGAAATTCCATTTCTAAAATATGGAGTTGAAGTAGAAAAGCATTGGTTTCTCATCTTTGGTTTTATATCTGATGTCTTATGCTCTGCCTTTGAATAGATGTACAGGCCTCTTCTGTGCTGTTGCTTCTCTTTAAGAAACCTAGTTTGATTGGAATCCGAAAAGAAGAGAAAAATGATAAGTGTATTACATTCCTGTTTACCCATTGGATGAGCAAAGCACCAGAGAGAAAGATGAAGCATTGAAGCTATAGTTAGGAAAAACTAGTAATCTAGTATTTCTCTTTTATCTCAACATATCATGGATGAGGGAAGATTATGATTCAGGACAGATAATGATTGGGAGGGTATGCTAATAGAAGAATCTGCCTGAAGGAGAAAGTCAAGTTTTTCTCATCTTCCAGATGTAATAAAGTATTCAAAAAGAAAAAAAGAGACCGTGATATAGAAGTTCTGTCCTTCCCCCACTCTGCCTTATTAAGGTATGCCTGTTTTGCAAATGAGTTGAAAGCAGAGGTGGTATTTAGCAGGTTCTGGCCAGTTCTGGAGAACCAGTAGTAGAAATTTTGAGTAGTTTGGAGAACTGGCAAATACCACTTTGACTGGAGATTTTATAGCATCCTTCCCCTGCCACTCCCACCAAGCCACGCCCACAGAACCGATAGTAAAAAAATTTGAATCCCACCACTGGTTGAAAGGTGCCGCGTTTTGGACATTGCAGGAATGCAGTCACAGCCAGTAGCCCCTCTTTTTTCAAACTTCTATTTCAAAGTTGAAGGTGCCTAAGAGTCAGGATAACACTAACAATTCAGTTCTTCTAAAGCAAATATGCCTTTTTCAGGCCCGCACAAAATTCTAAAGAAAGCTGGGCTGTTTTAATGAATGGCAAAAAGAGGCTGCATGCACATGAAATTTTCAAAATGTGCACAGCCCTGATGTTTGTTAAATGTATTGCTTTAATATTCTAATGTTTATTAAATGTATTATTTTAATTTCTGAAGATTCAGACTCAACATTTCCTCCCATGGTTAAAACAAAAGATAGTACTAATAAATTTGGGATGTGTTCCTTACTAGAGCACACAGTCTAAAAGCTGAGCTAATATTGTCTCAGTATAAGGCTTCAATATAGAATAAAGGGAAATGATTTGTGTAAATTCTATTTATACTTAATAATAAATAATATATTTAAATTATGGGCAAATTGGGTTTGATGAAGTGATAGGAGAGAGAAAAAAAATTGTTTAGTTCCAAAAGATTAATAAATATCTGTTAATCTGTAATCTGTATAATTTACAAGTAAGAGAATAAGAGCCAGTGAAAGTGCACTTAGCTGCCATCAAAACGTATAATTACAATTATTGAATCCTTTCCACTAGTTTACTCTTGGGTAATTAGAATTTTCCTTCATGTATTGCTGAATAATAGGGTATAGTAGTATCAAAAGTATATTTGGCAGCAATTATATTAGCTTTGTTTTACAACAGCATCAAATATTTTGTGATTCATTATAATACGTGCAACTTGGTATTTCTAGAAAGTCTTTGCCTTTGAAGAGGCTACAGTGACAACACTATGCATATATACTCAAGTGATATTGCATGTACTTCACGTTTGCCTCCTTTGTTCAGAAGCAAAGTATATTAAAAAGGTGGGCAATAAACTAGAAATATGATTTGTATGTAGTTTTCCTATATGTGGTTTTCCTGAGCCAGAGGCATGAATTTAAATCTTTCTGCCTTCCCTATCTTGCTTTGGAGTCCATGCATATATTTATCAAAGACAATCTTGACAGCATCTTTTCTTCCTTATTGCTAGTTAGAAATATGGAATTTCTTAGCCTTCTCTTCATCAGTATGCACGAACCTTTTCTAATGGAGTTTAAGACTGAATTAGAGGGCAATGCTGGATGAATAAATGAGATATTAACAAGTAAAATGCAGAATATTAATACTGTAATGAAGAAGTTAAAACTGTCCCAGTGTGAGAAAATTTAAATAGTGGGATAAAAGGGTAGAGATGCAGCTTTAAGAAATATGATTTATCATGAATTGTTCATAAGATACTTCAGGCTGCTTATAAGGTATTCAAGAAATATCATTTATTGCAATAAATGTCAGAAACTGGCTGCATTTGACTGGATAGACTGGAAAAACTAAGAACTTGCCCCTGGCAATTATAAAATACTAATCATTCTGTTTCACACAAATTTAAAGGTTCTGATATCTTATTTTTGTAATTTTTATTTTCATTGCATAAAATCTTCTGAAGTCTTTCAACTTGAAGATGTGTCTAAATTCTGGTTACTCTTCACTCAATTGTGCAATACAGAAGGCTCACCCCAAATGAACATTCTTTGCCTGTGCACTTTTGTATTGTTCTCTAGAGGATTTACAGAACCAGTTGAATTTGTTACTATTGATAAGTCTTGAGCAGGTTCGTGATGCTTGTCACTTATTGTGTTCAAATTCTGTAGAGTCAACAATTTTTTTACATTTTGTTAAGGTGCAATTAGTTTTCAAAAGCTCATCCTTCTATAAGACAAGAGTACCATCTGAACATGTTTGACATAGAGAAGTTTTTTCTTCTAACGGCACCAGTTTGTGTACTGACAAAAGCAGTCAATCATTCCTTTTTATCTCAGATGTTTGTGTGTTTTTTCCAATGAAAGTAAGAGAATTAGATCTTGGTTTTTCCTAAATATAGGAAAACCTATATTGAAGACTAGAAAACCCCTGTGAAATCTTATAACTATATTGAAGATTTTAAAGCCACAATGGCATCTTGTACTATTATGTATAATTAATATAAAAAACAAATTTTATTTCCATCATCATTCTGAAGACTATTATTTAAGAAACACTTATTCAGAAAACTGTCCAAAGGTGATTTGGGGGAAGAAAAAAGCTTGCTTTCTCAGAAGCTGTCACAAAATAGCTTCAGCTTTATATAAGAAAATAAAAGAGATATTGTCCCTAAAATATGCCAAACATATTATATTTATTTATTTTACTTTATCTTTCAGGTACTTTAACACCAGTGACAATAATTTACAATATTGGGGCCTTGACTACCCACCTCTTACTGCTTATCACAGTCTTCTGTGTGCTTATGTGTAAGTTAATTATTATGTAGCCAATTGATTAAAATAATTCTTTAAAAAAAAGTACACTAATTCAGAACTTATATCCATAAGTGTTCTGTGGTATATTCAGAAATTAACATTCCTAATAAGATTTTTTTTTAATGTGATGGAGAATAAGGAAAATGATTGGATATGGATGTTATATACAATGTTTGAATTCCTGGATCATTGGATTGGGGTCACATCAAGAAATTATTTCCATATTTGTAGTTGCAGGGACTTGATGCCTATTTGTTCCTTTTGTTCCCCCTCTAAATTGGGGAAAGCCCTTCAATATAAATCCTCCATATTTCCCCAACATTCCAGATACTTTGAAGAATTCTAGAGACCATGCTTTGGGTGCAAGAAGCAATTGTAAGTTGCAAGTCGCCTATCTCCATACAATTTATTATATAATATATTAGTTAAGGCATTCACATTGTGTTCTGACCAAGGCTTATTGAGACACTAACAAACACACATTAGTCCTAAAGCAATTAATCCAGGCTGCGCAGGAACACAAGGCTGCGCCACCCACATGGCCCGCAGGAACACAAGGCTTGCATCATTTGCATTGTGAACAACACAAGGTAGTGAGGGGAAAGGGCGGAGGGGGAAACTTGCCCCATTCGCCTCACCTGGCCACCAGGCTGCTTCTTTCCGCTTCTTTCTTCTGCTTTTGGCTGCACGTAAGGAAAGCAGCAAAAGTCTTTCTCTCCCGTAAACTCCGCCAGAAATGAGTCTTTGGGACCCTGCAAGGCATCCTGCTAAAGAGGCTGCGCTGGCAAAGACTCATTCTGGCAGAATTTGGGGGAGAGAAAGAAAGAATTCTGCTGGTTCTGCTGCTTTCCTTGCATGACACCAAAAGTCTTTCTCTCCTCCCCGCTGGAGACAGTATCCTGCAATCCCAAATAAAGAATGATCGATTGGTAGGAAAACAGAGTGGGGAATTTTCCTGCAGATTTTTGGGGGGATTTTCCAGGGTCCCTGGTCCGCGGGATTTAAAATTATGAGTTTGGTGGTCCCTGAGGTCCAAAAGGTTGGCAACCCCTAATATAAATACATGTATCTTATTTGATTTTATATTATTATAAATGGCCACGTCATTTTTCATTAAGATGCTGAAATATTTTACAGCTGTGATCATACAATCCACCATCACAAGCTACCCAGAGGTGTTGAGAGTTGGGTGGTGCCCAAGTTTGATAAATAATTAGTATCATTATCATGATAATAAGGATAGGCTTTAAATGGAACTTCTCTGTTTTAATCGGTAGCAAGATAAAGAACATTTGTTCACAGTAATCAATATGTACCCATGTTTCTAGTTTGCAGAGACCAATTGAGAAGCAGCTTTGAAGAGATATTACTTTAAAGTTTAAAAATGACAGAAATCTTGTGCTGAAGAACAGAAGAGACTTTAGACTTTATTTGTTATATTCTGTCTCAGAAATGGACAATCTCTCTAGATGTTTAAAACTGCTGTTCTATTGTAGATGGCTACACTGCCTTGTGGTGACAGGGACTGAAATTAAAATATCAAGAGGACATTAGGTTGTCTATTCTATTCTTTACAAAATTATAACAAACAAATTAATGGGTACAATTTCCTTTTTTACTTTTATAAAAGAAATACAACTAGCTAATAAAAGCTCCGTGTAGATCTAGAAAACTCTATGCCAGCGGTGGCTAACCTTTTTGGGCTCCTGTGCCAAAAATTGTGTGCGCGCTTGCACATGCGCACTCACGTGCCAGCACCCAGAAGGCAATGCGCACGCCCCCCACACTCCCTGCGCATGCACACACAATCCCCCGCCCCCTTACCTGCACTGCTTCGTGCAGGGCCTGTTTTGTCACTTCCGGTATTTTCGGAAATACAGGAAGTAATGAAATGGGCCTATTTTTCAAGCTGCAGAGGCTTTCCTCAAGCCTGGGAGGCCTCAAACCAGCCAAAAATCAGCTGGGAGGCGTGTGCATGTGCAGTGAGGTAAGTTTGCCTGTGACTCGCATGCCGGCACAAATGGCTCTGCGTGCCACCTCTGGCACACGTGGCATAGGTTTGCCATCACGGCTCTATGCTATTTTATTACCCTGAACTGACTTTATAATACTGTTATTACAGTTTTCCTTTTTTCTGTGGTCAACATAGCTAATTTTTGTCTTTAAAAAATCCACTGGATAGATATGTTGAAATTATCAACAGTGTTTTATTATTGCTTTTAGTTTTCAGAAACTGGACTAAAAGTAAAGAATTCTTGTAAATTCATTTAAGGTAAAGAATATTATTCAGAATGGTCTCTGCTACCTTGTTTATACTGTTAAAAATCTGAAGAATATGTTTACAACATTCAAAAGAAAAACTACGAGAGTTTTTTTTACGTTTGATGATTAAGTACCATTAAATGAACAGTTATTGCAAATTTAGATTAATTTGTCATATTATAAATCTTATAAATATGTACCTAAGAGAATTCTCTGTTTTTTCTTATTTGTAACATTTTAGGGCAAAGTTAATAAATCCCAGTTGGATTACTCTACACACATCTCGTGGGTATGAGAGCCAATCACACAAGTTATTTATGCGTGCATCAGGTAGGAATTTCACCCCCAATGTAACTATACAAGGCATTTTATCTGATCCTGCATTATGTATTTGGAGATACTCCTTATAAGAGGAGTTTGCAGAGTTTGATAGAAGTAATTATAATCTTTAATGGCATCACTCTGCTAATATTTATACAGCTTTCTACTAACAAAATACTATAATGAAAGGGATTGTTCAAGGTAAGGAGCTACATTACAGGATTCTGAATAACTTGCCACAGATAATACTAACAGTTTTTTATTACACAAGATGAATAGAGGAATTTTCCTAGATTCAGTTTTAAAACTAATTATACTGAGTGAGAAAAAGATATTGGACTTTTCAATATTCTCCATATTGTGGAACTTCTTGTGGTAACTATGTACTTGACTTTATCCAGTTTTGACTAATGTAACAAGTAATTTTAATTGCTCATTATTCAGTATTTAAATGTCATTTAAATGTTGAATAATTAGCAATAAATCTGGTTTTCAATGGTTTTCAATTATTCAAACTATTTTAATATGTGGCTAACAGTAAATATTTTTAAATATTTTTGAGATACACACGATTATATATAGTAGCAGTTACTTTATTTTACATTATACTGTACAATCAAATCTGCTTCATCTAATATGCTAGAAATATTAGAATATTAGAAATACAAAAAGATCAATAAATAATGGCATATTGTCCTCTATTAAATAAAACTAAATTTTTGATAACACTGAAGTTCATGTCAATAATTATCTATGATATTTACAAGATAATTACAATGCTAAATGAAATAGAACCTTTAACTAATTCTAATTTCATATATATAGTATATATAATATAGTGCTTCTTCTTCCTTCAAGTGTTTTCAGTTTTTATGGAAATACTAGACAAAACATTGATAGACTAGACCAGGAGTGTTCAACTATGGCAGACCTCCCAAATTCCCCTGCTGTCCAGGTTGGAGTTGAAGCCATGGGTCTTAAAGTTGCTAAGGTTGGCTATCACTGGAGTAGACATTACCCTCCACACTTCCTGAAAAGTTATTGTCAGTGATTTGGTGACTTGGAGGATTGCAGCAGCAAAGAAAGAACAAACGGACAGTTGGATTGCTTGTCCAGTGCTCTTCTTGCAGTAGAGCTGGAAGTGTTCAGAATTTGACTAATTTGGACCCAGCCTATATTTTTAGGGTGCAACTGAAATGGATGCTAATATTCAAATACAAGATTAAATGCTTCTTACTGAATAACAATGTTTTTTTATTCTGTAATAGCTTTTCCCAGCCATTTAAAAACTGCTAGTATTCTATACAGAATCATAACATTTAGTAGTGATTACTTTTACAATGAAATCAAAATGATTATTGTTTTCATAAACACATTAATTGATATTAATATAGTGGTTAGTAATGAAAGAAAAACAAACCCAGCAATGTCATATGACTTCTTTATTAAGCATCATAAACAATTAATTAGTTTGTGTTATTCATTCTTCAGGAATGAATAGAGTTGTGCAAAAAAAATCTTAATGTTGGTTTCTTCTTATTGCTGATTAACTTGGGCAGAATTAGACACTCCTCCGCCTCACCTCTTATGCTGGCCACAAACCTTTCCATCTGGTCTTTAGTAATTGACTGCATTTTAAAAATCACTAGAACCAAATTACCCTTGAAATAGTCTTTAATAATGCTCAAGTCAACACGCCTGATAAATCATTGATGTATAAACCAAACAAATGGATAGACATTTTTTAACAATAGTCATTAAATGAGTGTTATCAGGGTTGCAGAATTCAATAATGTTAAATGTTAACCATTTATCCATTTTAGAAAATTCTCCCTCTAGTGAGTGTATATACTGAAAAAACCCTAATGTTTTGGAAAAACCACTCATGTCATAGTTTGGCATTATAAAATATTTTTTTAAAAAAATTAAACCTTGTGTTTACAATAATTTTATAATCATTATATAACAAATGAAGTGTACATACTCAAGTGGCTGATATAGTGGAATAATCTAACGATCAAATAATCAAATTATGAAAGTCATTATGAAAATGAACCTCTGTCCCACATACCACTTGTACTTCTCTCTCTCTCTCTCTCTCTCTCTCTCTCTCTCTCTCTCTCTCTCTCTCTCTCTCTCTGTGTGTGTGTGTGTGTGTTTGAAACTAGTCAACAGTTTCATTGGGGTAATATCAGCTTCTGCTGTTTTGTTTTGATATCTTTTGTTATGAATTTTTGTTATTGTATTTTCTATTTTTATAGCCTACCCCAATCAGAGAACTCTGGATAGATTCCAACAAAATAAATACAGAACAATAAATGAATTCTAAACACCTCCTTCAAAATAGATCCTTCTGGAAATAAAATAGTCCAGATTTTGATAGTCTCCAGATACTTTGATAGCCTACAACTTCCCAATTCTTTCAGGCAGCCCAACAGAATACAATGATGTGTGATATCAAACACCAGTAAAAGATCCTAAAAGACCTAGAACAACATGCTCCCCTCTTTGAGATACCAATAAAATGTGCTCACTTCATTGAAAGTAATCTCAAAATAATCCCAGATAACAGTACGGGATTCAGATTTGCTCACTGTGTTGGGTTCTGTCTAACTGGTATCTAGCCCATATGAGCAATATTATCTGCCCAGAAAACCACAAAACCATTCACTGAGCCTGTGGGTATCTTAACCCACCCATATTTCCCTAAAAACCTCTGACTGAGGCTGCTAGGAGAAAATCTGCGAATGCAGTTAAGTGCAGAGAAATCATGTTATGCTTCTCTTGCCACTGACGTGCAGCTTAAAAATGAACCTTTATCAATACCTGGTCTGATGCATTTCTGGATTTTCTGTGACCACTACTTGCGGGTGTCGTTTTAGTCATTTCATTTCCCTTAGTTCTTCATTAAACCAAGCAGCCACCCAGAATCATTAATTGGGAAGAGGAGCCCTTACAAGAACAATCCCATCAAGCACTCCAGTGGTCTCCATGTTCCAGAGGCCCTACCAAACACACAATGGTGTTTTTTGTTGTTTTTCCTAGCATTTTAAGTATTAGTAGTGCCTTCTCTTTCATTGTATGCACATAGGCACACATACATGCAAACACATACAGAAACAGCCATGTTTGCACATATTACAGTCATCTAGGTGTGTATGAAATTTGGGCAGAAGATAAGCCTTCCTCATTTTGGCCATGGTGGTTTGATCTTGATTAGATCATTTCAATGGAATGGAATGTTTATTAGGTTGGTTTTTTTTCAGTAAAAAAGAGGAAAGTGGCAATCTTCTAGCTGTGGATGTTGCCAGTTTGATCAGGTTCCTGAGCTATAACATGCAGGGGAAAAGTATGAAGGGAAAATCTGTAGATGATTCATAATGATAACAATTAAGGAAAAGCAGAATTGGAGTTATGAAAAATATTGGTTTGATTGTTGCATATAATTTTTTTGTCTTGCAGTTCTTGTTGCTGATATGCTAGTTTATATTCCTGCAGTATTCTTATACTGCTGTTATTTAAAAGAGATATCGATAAAAAAGAAGGTTAGTATATTTTCTTTGCAACAAAAACAATGTTTCTATCTGAAAAAGTAAGGAATGTAGTGAATAATCAGATAAAAAATATTAGTCCAATTATGATTAAAAACATTAATTTAACAGTGTTTATTACAGTGTTTCACAATAAACAAATACATGTTGATCTATTTATGTAAAATAAACAAGGTTTACAATTAAAATATATAGCATGATTATAAAATAGAGCCAATTTGGTCTAGTGGTTAAAGTACCAGGCTTGGAAGTGGGAGACAGTGAGTTCTAGTCCCACCTTTGCAGTGAAAGCCAGTTAGATGACTTTGAGCCAGTCACACTCTTTCAGTCCATCCTACCTCACAGGGTTGTTGTTGTGCAGAACATAGGGGGAGGATCAGGGGTTGGCTTCAAAAATTTCTGCCTGGTTGCTGGGTGGGCATGACTATGCTGGGCGTGGCCTAGTTGGCCTCCTGCACCATGGCAAAGGGGTGTTTTTGCCCTCCCCGGCCTCTGAAAGCTCTCTGGAAGCCGGAAACGGGCCCATTTCCAACCTTTCTGAATTTCCGGGAGGCCCGTTTTTCGCCCTCCCTGAGCCTCCACACGCACCCCGCACTTACCTGTATCCAAAACAGGCTGCGTGGAGACTCCTGGGAGGGGTGGTGGTTTGGGGGGGAGCCAGCCAGGAGTGGGATTTGGGGGTTCTCCAAACTGCACAGAATCTTAGCTAGGGCCTCTCACGAACCCCTGCGAACCCCCAGCAGCCCACCCCTGGGGAGGATATAATAATATTCCTGGCAGTAGAAGTTTTATATGGGATAGGTAATCTCAAAGATATCCTGTTTTAACTAGCTAATAGGGCCGGGGGTCAAGTCCAAAAATGGCAGTGGTAAGCCTACAGAGAACCTTATCTATTTCTTTGTGAATCACTGGCTCAAAAACCTCCCAGGTACCATTACAAGACACTATCTTTGTCATCTCATGAGATCTCTGTCCATGTAGCATCCAATTCAGAGCAGTTGTGAATGATTTAATAGATAAAATCATCAAGGAGATATGTCATTCTTGTTTAGTGGGTGTTTCTATCAGATAACTTGTAATTCCTTGGGCCAAGCAAATCTCAGCTCTTGTTGTAATAAAATGTCTGTGTGTCGTGATCATTTTATGTTTCTGAAGCTCACTGGCTGACTTTGGGACCACCACTCTCTTGTTCCAACCTGCCTTACACAATAGTTGGGGGGAAATGGGAGTCAGAAGCGCTTTGAGTTTGTGAACAAAGGTTGGAATATAAATTTAATAAACAAACATTAAAAAATGTGGGGTAATTGAGTTATACTTTTGAAAAACAATAAAAAACAAAATACTATCCATTGCAATAGATTTAACACTTCTTTGTTTGCATCTTTTTAGATGGAAGAAGTTCAATGGGTTGACAGTTCCAGTATAATCTTTCTAAAGAAAATGAATATTCACATTTTACCTGTACTATTGATTTTATTTTTGTTGTTGTTGTTCTCAGATTTCTAGTGCTCTCTGCACATTGCTTTATCCTGGTCTAATTCTGATTGACTATGGACATTTTCAGTATCTTTTTTTTGTTCTGTGAAGACGATTTTTTGTAATGCGTGGATATCGTGGAATAAGTCTGTTGCTGTGTGGGTAAGAAAGTGGGACGGGCGAGGGAAGTCAAAGCAGTATGTGGCACAACTAGAGTGAAAACTACATTTTTCTGCCCCATTTTATTATTTTAAGACATAAATATTCTTTTCATGCCATCTCATTTCGTCAAGTAGGTTTTAGTGGCAATGGACAACCAACAGAATCCTGTAAAAGTTACATATTCTTTATTAGCAAGCTCTATACACATTGTTGTCCTTAACAGAACAAACATATATAATTCCGTGAGTCTTGGTCTTGCTTTGTGGGGAGTGCTGTTTCTATCTTACGACTTTGACCTTTTGGGTTCCGCAGCATTTTGTTTTGCTCTAAACTACAAACAAATGGAGCTCTACCACGCTTTGCCCTTCTTCTGCTACTTACTAGGAAAGTGCTTCAAGAAAGGCCTGATGGGCAAAGGGTGAGTATCTGTACAAGCTGACATCCAGAAAATAGTCCTGGAATGCACTTAGGCTGTTTTGCCTTGGGAATTTGTGCATGTCATTCATTTCTTGATTAGCTTTTGCAATAGGGATTCGTGTCATTATCATCCCCCTTCCCCCAGAGAAGCATGTTTCTCCTAAGTCATTAAATAACATACTAAATAGTTTTAAGAGTGTCTACAGTGTATCAAAATACACACAACTATCTTTTCTCTTCAACACCTGTCATTAGTTAAGCACAGGTCACAAATGTACACCCATATTTAGAAGATAAGAGTTTAGAATGTTTTTTCTTCTTCTTGAGGGTGGCAGGGATATTTAACAGTTTTATTTACATAAACAGTATAAATATATAAACATATAAACAGTATATTTAACAGTTTTAACTTTTCTAACAGATTTCCTACTTGGAAAAGGAAACTTAAGTTTGAAAGTACTGTACATAAAAATTATCTTTCTTTGAGGTTTGATTTTTTTTTTCTTAACAGGTTATGGTTGTTGATGAAACTGTCTTTTATTGTCATTCTTTCTTTTGCGATCTGCTGGCTCCCATTTTGTACAGACATTGAACAAATTTTGCAAGTGCTCAGAAGGCTCTTTCCAGTAGATCGAGGTTTGTTTGAGGTATGCCTCATGTTCCCCCTCCCAAGCATCTTGTAAATGTTTTATATTTTTAGCTCCCTTGAGAAACCTTCACTTTGACCCTTAGGGATTTCATGTGGAAGATACACCAGAAGGCTAGTAATATGATCTGGCTTCTCTGACTGTCATTTCTTGCCAGTTATTTAATCCAGCATTTAACCCCAAGCTCAGCTGGCATCTTCTAGGATATTATACAAATAGAATTAATCCCATCGTCAGATCTATAGTTCAGGCATACATTTTTCAAATATATTCCACAATAATAAACAATGTCCTTGCACAATCTAGAGGTTTTTAAAAAATAATTCAATATGGAAAAAAATTAATGTTTCTTTTTCTTTTTAATCTTCCAAGACATTGGGTTAATGCTCAAGTTTGCATGGTTTTAATTTGTCCTGGTGGAAAATTTATAGTTTGCTTGCCTGAGGTAAATCCTTAAGATGTTGACCATAAACTGGATGGTTTTATTACTGGTATTATTTTTATTAATTTGTTTGCACCAGACAGAGAAACAGTGATATATACTTTGCAGCAGACTCACATCTGAAAATCATTAAGTACAGCAATGGTGTTGGCACATCATAAGAAACACTTAGGATCTTATTCCCCAGTCATATACTAACTGAAATGTTATACGATGAAATAGAAATAGAAATGTGACATGAAGAATAGAAATTCATAAACCAAAGGACTGTCAAGAAGTTTGTTTTTCTGATTGTTAATCTCACTTTATGTTTTAAAAGCAAAAGAAACACATTGTAGATTTTAATGAAATGGGTCTGTATGATTTAAAAACTTCACACAGTTTATTTAGTGTTAAGATTTTTAGAGCTGGCACAGGAATGGCTGATTGGGATATTAATCTGAGTAAACTAAGAAACTGTCTACTAAGCAATGCACAATAAGTTTATCCTGGGGTGCCTATGACAGGTTCTTTGAATTGATTCCCATTTACAGACATGTCTTCAGTGCTGATAATTATAAAACTTCAATGGCTATTAAGCTAGCACCTTATATGTTGGTGGTGCTGCCAAGCACTTGTCACCTTCAGCAAATTTGCAGTGTGCATTCTGTATTCTTGTAAGAGAACAAGGAGATTGTTCGGTTGTTTGTAGTAGCTTTCTTGCTGTTATGTCTACACAGTTGTGATTCAAGCAGCTGTTTAGGGATGAGTTTCATGAGTATGCTAGCTGTGTGGTTACAAATTTAATTTGGAAAGTGATCCTAGCACAACTGCTAATGTCTTTAGACTTCGTGATTTATTAGGGGTTAACTCTATCATTGCTGGCAGTTAGCAAGTGGTGCTAAATATGTACTAGTAAGAGAATGTGGCAGAATGTAGTATGGCTTCACATTTGAAAAAATGTTTCATGTTGCTTTTTAAAAAGTGGATAATACATAGTTATAGGTAGTTTTGTAGCATTGACAGTCTGTGGTCTCCTCAAAAATCTATGATTTTAGGCTACACAGATACGTTTAATTTCATGTAGATGATTTCTTCCATTCCATGTATATAAAATTATGCTTTACCTTCAAAATAATGCAATACATTAAATATATTTTCAGGATAAAGTAGCCAATATTTGGTGCTCTTTAAGCATTCTTTTCAAAATAAAGACAATCCTGACAAGAGAAACACAACTTAAATTAAGGTATGTAATTATCAAATTCCCCAAGCAGTTTCCTGTTACCGTTTTAGCAAAAGATGCATTTCAAAGAACATAAATAATTTAGAATTATTTAGATTTAGAATTATTTATGTTATATAGAACTATAAAGAATTATATAGTCGAACGGCCTTAATAAAAAAGGTTATTTCAACATTTTGTGGAGCTGTTCTCTGCTTGCTGGTTTGTTCATTTGTGATTGAGTCGGACTTAGCTGAATCAATAACATCATCATCATTATGAAAGGAATCTTATTAAAACTGAGCAATACCAATTCTCATCTGATTCTTGATTCAGAATTAATCTGGTTATTGAAATCAATGGTTTTAATATGATATTATTACTTTATTTTTAGTTTTGCTTTAACATTCCTGACTGTACTTCCCAGTTGCATAAAACTGACTCTGCAACCTTCGCTCAGAGGATTTAAATATGGCTTGGTAAGTATATAATAACACATATTTAAACATAAAAAGTCATAGTTTTGTAACATGTAATAATCTCTTTTCTTTATCTCTATTATGGTTGATAGGGTTGTAGAGAAGGAAAAAAGACCAATTCCAATCAGTGATCCCCTATAAAACAATCAGTTGGGCAAAATGCTGCTGACTTCTCCATTCTTAACTCATGTGATCTAGATGGAGATTAGGAATTGGAAAGAATTTAAGAAATTATGTTCTGCGTGCTTCCTTTATTCTGTGTGTGTGTTTGTGTGTGTGCGTGTGTGTGTGTTGGTTAAGTGTTGGCCTAGAGACCAAGAAACCATGAGTTCTAGTCCTGACCTTAGGTTAATCTCTCTCTCTCTCGGCCCAACCCAACTCACAGGATGTGTGGTGGGGAAAATAGAAGAATAAGGAGTATTATCTATGTGTAATATGGGTGCTCACTGCCTTGGGTTACCTAAAAAGTAATAAAGGTGAGGTAGGAATTTAATAAACAAAATAAAATAAATTAAACATTTCTTTCCAAAGGAGGCCATCAGTGGCAACTTATAACTCCATATTTTGTTCCTTTTTTTTTTCTTTTGCCAAGAATTCTTCTAATTTTCCATTATTGAAGGAAAGTAACATAGTAAAATTGATAAAAACAATTTTGGAATGAAATATTTATTTAGCAAAAATGCAAATTATACTGTAGTATTGGGAATCATCATAAAGTGGAAGGGTTTTTACAGGTTATTTTGGTAAAAAAAATCCTGAGTTGGAGAAATACCCGAAATCTATCTTTTATAATGCTTTGTCTATCATCTTATAGTAACTTGTCCATTTTTAAAGATTTATCAAGTTTTTTAAATATCCTATAAGGCAGCTTATGAGAGATTGATTTGTGGAGTCCTTGATGCTCTCTGAGTTTGGTTGTTTACTTGCAAACATTTCATTACCCACCTAGGTAATATCATGATCATGGCAAATGATGGTAGTGATGAAGTTACCTAGTTGGCTAAAGAATTATCCTGAAGCAAACCAAGATCAGAGAGCATCAAGAACTCCACCATTCAATCCTGTGAACCACACATATTCTCTTCTGTTGGAGCTAGCTATTTTCCATCAATTCTTTAAGGATCTTCAACTATGGTCTCTAATCTGTCATCAACCTCATGCACAAAAAGTTGGGAAATATTTTACTCCATAAACATTATTATAGTAGTCTGTTTATAATGTCCATGGAGTTACTTGGCAATAAAATTATCCATGTTAGCCTCATTCACACAATATCTCATTGAACAGTAAACATAGCTAATGAATAACCTGTTTAAATGAGAGGAATGGGACAACTTTCCACAACCAACTCATCATGGCCAACTTGCTGCAGGACAGCTTGCCACAGACAACTCACTGCAGGAAAACTCGCTGCAGGACAATTTTATAATTCTATTTAATTATTTTAAATAAATAAAAATTATTTGAATTTCTGTCATTCACATTTCATTCTGTCCCCCCTTTTGCATCCTTTCTTTAATGATTCTATTCCACCATTTCTTTGGTATGAGTGTAACTCTTGTCCAGCAGTGAGTTGTCCTCTGGTGAGATTGCCATGGCAAGTTGGCCGTGGCAAGTTGGCCATGACGAGTTAGCCATGCCAAATTGTCATAGACCCTAAATGATAGGCTCTTGCACTGTTAGTGGTCTTTGACATTGGACTGCTACCTGCAATATTTGTCAGAACACTGAAAAACATAAAGGTATAATAAAAACTGATCATAAAACTTATCAGTCAAATTTAGTACTTCAGACCAGAGAGAAAGTACAACTCTACCATACCAGAAGCCTATTTTAAATCCTTCTCAATTTGTCTAGATCGCTTAAGTTTTATATCAGTGATTTGACAGTTATGTCAATTTGTTTAGATGCCCTGGTGAGTCACTTCCCTGGTAGATGGTTCATGCTCTCATCAACAACTAATCAGCTAATAAAGCTATCCAAGTGGACATGCAACTAATTTACAGCATTTTATCATATTGTGAGCCTTGGCCATGTAGCCATATTTTGTGATATAAATAAAAGCTTTTGGTAATAAAAGTGTGGAACTGATTGGCCATGATTAATAGCACAAAAATGCTCTACATAGACCTGTCAATAAAGTAAAAGCAGATCTTGTCTGCTTTTAACATTCTTAATTTTCTTTTTCAAAGGTTTGCTGTTCATTGTCTTTCTTTCTCTTCTCATTCCAAGCGCATGAAAAATCTGTTCTTCTTGTTTCGGTGTAAGTAATATTTTATATTAAAATACTTTAATTATTCTATAAAAATTGGTACTTGGAAATATGTGTGAGAAAAACTGTAGTGCTGACAAAAAGATTCTAAAATAAGATCCAAGCTCCTACACAAGGACCAGTACATTTGTATAACATGTGAGTTGTGTATCCGTGAAATTCTGCTCTCCCATTCTAATAGAATCTGGAAAGTGAAATCATGGACTTTTCTTAGGTCCCAGAATACTGAGTATGCATTGAAGTTGTAGCTGATTAGCAATGATCATGCAGGGAGATTCTTTTATTGCAGAGGTATCAAGGACATGAAGTATTGCTTACTCCCATAGAAAGATCCATTATTTGGAGCGTTAATCCATTTATTTTGTTGTCCTAATATTCTTTTATGATTATCAAGGAAGCAGCAGCTAAAAAATTATTATGTTTCTTAAACAATGCTTTTGAGCTTATATTTCTGTTTTCCCCTTAGACCAGTTTGCTTAGTTATACATGAAATTCCTTTTATATCTACATGGTTTCTTCTAGTTTCAACTTTCAGGTGAGTTTGAATGTTATTTCTAAACAATTCTTCGTACTTTGAAAAGACATTTTAAGATTTATTTTACATTGTAATTTTTTTGGCTTGTATAACCTTGCTAGATTTCACAGTAATTCATGTTTCCCTTTACAGCATGCTTCCTCTTCTATTAAAGGATGGCCTTCTTTTGTCTTACATTGTCACAATGTTGGCTTTCCTCCTGGTCTGTACAACTTCTTTTTCAATATTTGAAAAAACATCTGAAGAAGATCTGCAGCTAAAAAAACTTTCCAGTTACTTAAAGAAATACATTACTTGGTTGAAGACATTTTCAAAACTTATGAAGAGTTTAGTAAGTAACTGTTACAAAAATATATTATGTGCA